ATGCCAAGATGGTGGCAGGGTATGCACGCTCAGCAGCTGCATCCACACAATAGACTATAAATTGTCTCTGTCAATATTGCCAGTTAAAATAACCTTGCTTGTCATTGCTGTGAGAGACCTCTACCATTTGTGAAATAAGGATACCAGCTAGGAATTTAAGCCCCCAAACTGTTGCCTTCAGGACTACATTAGGCGACAACATCTGATCCTGCAGCAGGACATGCTGATGTAAGATGGCCCATTTTCTTTTAAAAGAAGGCAAGCAACATCACCCTCCAGACTCACTGTGCAGCCTAACTTGGGGCTGGATTTAGGTCAGAAAGCCTGAATGCTATTTTGGCTTTTCCAGACAACTTCAGCTTTTTTATTTTAGCTTTTCTAGACAGCTCGTACCTTACTTCAAGCCAATACTTCTCTTTTCTGTGATGTGTCTTCTTCCCACATTCAGATTAGGAAGTGACCCAGACCATCTAGCCATCTGGGACCCCTCAGAGCCAACGTGGATTTATTGCATCCAGAGGCTTCTTTTGACTGTGATCTGGAGATATTTGGTCAAAGAAAGGTAGGGAACATAAACATTGAAAATGTCAGGGCATAGCCCTCAGGGGCACTGCAGTGACAAAAACTGCCTTTGAAGCACCAGTGCGTCTGTAGGACAAAAACACAGGCCACAGGCCTGCTCTGCTCTACAAGTCCCTGTCATCAGTCCAGCTTTGGGCTACAGTCTATGGTGGTCATTATACAGTGTTTGGTCTGTGCAAAAACATAGACTGTAGTTTCTTCATCCCTTGACTCAGCACCATCTTTCAAAGCCAGGGTTCCCATCTGAAGAAATACCATAGGGTATCTGAAGATACTCAGCACACAATTCCCCTCATTTATTATTTCTCTGTAGCTGTTCCCTGTACTTCCTGTTCATCTGTAAAGACTGTAAGAAAATAGGGAGAGCAATACTACAGACATGGATATAGTAGCAGAGGGACTCCAGCTCCACAGTGTCACCAGTTGGCATGGCACCACCTACCACACTAGAAGACAGGCATATGATGCACAGCCCCATCCCTTCGTTCGTGCTCCAGTACTAGAATCTCACAGAAGACCATTCCCAGGCTGTAATAAAGTTGGATTTTCAAATCTGCGAACTTGTGCCAAATACTATTTAAATAAGAGAGATAGTTAGAAAACACAGACATGGTTTTGGGTAAAGCTAAGCTTTGAAATCTAGTGGTATCTCATAGTGTCTGATTTTAGAAGGGGTCCTAAAAGCCACTGGAAAACTTTCAGAGCTGAACAATGAAACATAAGTAGATGCAATTAAATCTATTTTAAAATACACAACTGCTGTCCACATTTCTAACCCCTTACCACAGATCCAGGGCTTGATCCTGCAAAAATTCACAGATGTGACTCCACCACTGTGAGTGACCCACTGAAACTTCCTGAGCTACTGGAACTGCATTTCGCTGTGGACCTGTGTCACGTCCCTCAGCTAAGACCTGGCACAAAGCCCAGCAAAGACACTTCACCCACACCTTGGCTCCAAATGACATTCAGAGGTAACATACAGTTGGCTTGAAGGCACTTCAGGCTTCCCAAGCCAGCAGTAAGTCAGAATCACCTGAAGAGTGCTCCAGTTTGTATCACCTGCCAAAGAAACTAGAGGCATTGCCCTGGTATAGCAAATCCCAACCATATCTGTCTTACTCAGTCAACATCCGCACGAATGACATGCAAGTGCAGTGAAGTGGGAGTTACTACAGGAGACTGCACCCTACACAGCACCTGACAATAAAGCACCCTCCCTGTACCAGTAAGATTAACGGTGAGGCAAAACGGGTCCACGTAGCAGCTTCCCTAATACACAAGGGGATCTGGCACTTCAGTCCAAGTTCTTTGGCAGATTAAATATTCTGAAGTCTAATTTTAAAATCTATTTAGATTTTTTCTAGTTAGCAAAAATGTTGTATTAATGACCAATCTTGCAGTAAAACTAGCTTTTCAGGAGGTGATCTGTAAATTCAGGGGAAGCAAAAAAATCTATTTAGCAGGAACAGCAAACATTAAAATTAACGCAATTAATCTTGATGGCCTTATTTTTAAAATTTGTGAAATACAGCAGAAGGGTGAGAGGAGGAAAACAAGCTAGCCATGAAGAAAAACAGCAAAGAAGTAGCAGGAAAAGCTGCCCAGAACAAATGTTCTTTTAAAGACATAAACATCAGACAATCTTCAAAGCAATCCCACAATGCAGGTAAAAGCCAACTACAGCCCACAGATAGTGAAGGAGCCCACATGGCATGGAAAGCCCTTGCTTTACTCAGGTATATGCAGCGCTGCACACTTTGCATTGCCTGGGACCTCTGTCCACCTGCCACTCGAATAACCACTGCAGGTGGAATACGCTCAAAAGTAGCCTCTCCCCAGAACAGCTATCGTAGCGATACAAACATGGAGAAAGCAGGAAAATTCTAACTCCAGAATTAGGGCTATAGAGCCCACACACATGGGGCAGGGGAGTAGTGAATGTTTTCCATCACAAACTATTCAGTGGGGAGCTAAACAACATGATCCTACTCCCCACTCCTCAGACTCAAACCCCATCAGTCCTCAGAAGTGACATGGTTCAGAAGGTCTTTTAGGAAACTTTCAAAGGACATGTCCCTCTTGCCATTCCCTTTCTAGCTACCTTCTACTCCCAGGAGGGTGATATATACACATGTGCTCAAATATCTATAAATGCATATGTATGGATATGTCAGACAGTCCAGAAGGACATCCAGAACAGCCAAGTTCAGCTCATTTTTAACTGCTCATATTGATCGGACTTGAACTTGATAACTTTGCCACTAGCTCAGTTATCTCAGATACTTAAAGCCTGGTGCCTATAGTATCTCACATATATCTTGTCATCTCCTTCTTTCTCTGGTAATCCAGTAAATCTAAAAAAAGACAGTTTTGCTGCA